CCTTCTGGTCCACGCTGGCTCCCTTGCCCTGCTGCGGTGGTCTCCTCCTGACTGCTAGGTGGTACCGACCATCCACCGAATACAGGACAAGCTGGATCATCGTCTCCTTGGGGAGCTGGGGCAGCGCTGCACCCAGCCTGACAGCAGCCTGGAGTGGGCAGGATCTGACTTCACTATGGAGGTGGGGGGAGTTGCAGTCGGGGGCTGGCAGGAGGTGCTTTGAGGGCTCCTGGGTTCTGTTCTTGGCTTCGGCAGGGGCGTGTGGCCTGAGGGCTGGAGTCAGGGCGCCTGTTACTCTATTCCCAGGGCTAGGAGCAGTTTCCCCAGCGGTGCCACTTCAAGTAGGGTTACCATGCGTCCGGATTTTCCCGGACATGTCCGGCTTTTTGGGATTCAAATCCCCGGCCGGGGGGAAATCCCAAAAAGCCAAACATCTCCGGGAAAATAGGGAGGTGCTGGGCCAGGGGCCGGGCCTGGGCCAGCAGTGCCCGGCGGTGCAGGGCTGGGGCTGGAGGGAGCCACTCGGTTGGGGGGTGGGGGGGCGGACTGGGCCGCGCCTCCTCCCCCCACCCCCCTGCTTACCTGCTGCCTGCTTCAGGCTTCCCGCGAATCAAATGTTCATGGGAAGCAAGGGAGGGAGCGGAGTTGGGGCGGGGACTTTGGGGAAGGGGTGGAGGTGGGGCGGGGCTGGGGGCAGGGCTGGGGCCCTGTGGAGTGTCCTCTTTTTGGACATTCAAAATATGGTAACCCTAGCCCCTTTGCCTTTTCTTAGTGAAGCTGGTCCTGGGCAGGGTGTGTTGGCTTGTGGCCACAATGCTGCTGCTTCAGGCCCTGAGGCTGCCTGCCTGCTGTGTCCAGTGCAATCCAGGGGGGGGCAGCAGTGCTCCGCATCTGGCCAGCGCAGGATGCGTGCGGCTCGTTCACTCTCGCCCTGCCCGTGGGCTCATACTGGGCCTTGGGTTGGAGGCCGGTTTCTGGGTTGTGGCTGGAAGTCAGGAGGTACTTGGTCTCTCTCGGCTCGCAGTGAGGTGTCTCCTCTCAGCCCCCTCCCCCCCCCGTCGGGAATTGTTCACTGGATCACGTCTCAGCAGCAGGGCAGGGGCGTCTCTGCCCCACGCTGCCGGGTCACTGCCAGTAAATCCCTGCCTTGGCCGGGCGCGTAGCTAGCAGGGGCGGAGACGTCCCCTAGCGACCCTCGTGCTGCAGGCGATGAGGCTGCCAGACTGCACTGCGGAAGAACCCCTGACCTTGGGGGGGGGGGACCCCAGCCACGCAGCAAGGGAGTGAAGAACCAAAGCTGACCAAGGTCATGCGGGGCGGTGCAGGACCACTCGCTGACTCCAGCCCACTCAGTGGCCCCAGCTCCTGCCTGGATCCAGCATGTGGAGCTGAGACCCCCACCTGGGCAAGGCTGTAGTGTGCATGAGGGAGATGCTGACACGGTTGGGCCGCTCCCCAGGCTGGAATAGGGGCCCTGGCTTTGCCGCAGACACGCTGGGCTGACACACAAGCTTTGTCCAGCTCTGCGGCACAAAGGTCTGTTGTCTGCTGCTTTTCATAGCTGGCACGGTCCGGATTTGCCAGGAGCATTCGTGTCCTGTTGCAATGTCGAATCTTCCTCCTGTTGTTTCCCTCTTCCCCCCCGCGTTAGGGTGAAGCTGTCTGGGATCCAGGAGAGCTGACTGGCTCTGGCCCAGGGCTTACCTCCTTGTGTTCATCTCCACACAGCACTGTCCCCATTTCGCCCCATAGCTGAGGCAATGGGGACAAAGGCAGCGGCTTGATTCTGCAAGGTGAGGGCACCAGGAGGTGTCCGTTGTGGGGGTGGAGTCCCGCTGGCTTAGAGCACGCAGCTCATGGGGGTGAGGGGCTAGCCCAGCCCACAGGGTCCTGCTCTACCATCAGCTGGTGCGAGCCTTCCTCCAGCAAGAATGTGGAGCGCTCCGGAGGGGTAACGGGAATGAGCTGCTGGGATTTGTCTTCCTGAGGCTGGAGAGATGGTGGCAAATGGCACATGGACTGGGAGAGCCTGGGTGTGTTGTGGGGGGACGGGACAAGGATCCTTCGCACTTACAGCGTGAAACTGAGGGCTTGATCCCGTCCCGTCTGCACGCTGTGGGCATAGCATGTGGGGAGGACAGCAGGATCAGGCCTAGACATGGACAGACGGAGACCTGTCTCATGGTGCTTAGTGTGGTGTCGCGGGGGCTCATACTGACATGAGGGCTCCACACCAGCCCAGGTGCTCCACTGGTGGCAGGGGCCCACGGGATCTTTAATGACCAGCAGAGGTCAGGCCCTCCAGTGATTCCAGTCCTGCTCCTCTTACAGGGCTGTCCCTGGCCAGGGCTGCGTAAGGGTGCCCCTGCTTGGGGTGTCCGTGGGCAGTGAACTTTGGGACCTGAGCTAAAATGACAGCCCTGTTTTTGGGGGGGCAGTAGCTGACTCTCAAGCCTCTATATGTGGTGTAGCCACTGGCGGGAGACACAGAGGTAGGGTGTGTTAGCAGGGGCCACACTGTGCCTGTGAATGGAGGGGGGGGGTGTATGTACACCGGGCTGAGAGTTTATATGAATGTGTGCGCCTGGATGCGAGCTGTGCGGGTAGCTTCATTTACCAGGCCTGTTTCTCTCCCTTTCCCTGTCCTCCCAGCTCCCATCATCCTCTCCGTCCCATTCACTCCTTCTCACTGGACCACGAGATGCTGCCAATCTTTTTGTGAATGGGGGCTCGGGCTCTGGGAACACGGGGTAGGTGAACCCACGTGGGAGCTGAAGGCAGCGGGGAGGCATGATCTGGGCCAGCCCTGCGTGCGTCTCAGCCCGCCAATTATTCCTCCTTT